CATTTTAGTGTACACTGTTGACCTCTCCAAGTCCATTTTTGGCTGTCTTGCCATTGAATTTTTCGAACCAATTCTTGGTGGACCTTCGACCCAATGCCTCACAGCTTGAGATTGTTGTACATTTGGATTATGTGAGCCTATAGGTTTTCCAAATTGAAGAAATGTTGAGATCTTTGATTCGAAGACACAAAATCCGTTGGCTTAGAAAGATCCTAATCCACTGGTTTGAGAAGGCATTTGGTCTATGACCTGCACGCAAGCATATCCCATAAATCGATATGAGCCAACGTTGCTACGTCGTCTGCATCTCGCTCGTCCCAATGCTCCGTCTCCCCAGAGTTCTTAGACCCTCCCCTAATAACCCCGCCCGCCGCTCCGAGACGTGTCTTGTTTCAGGGTTGCCATAGCATTTTTCCACATTTCTTTCTTCACTGGCAGCCCCTTCGTTCCTTCTACTTTCGAGCCCTACAACCACACCTTGTAGGCAATGCCTTCAAGCTTAAGCTACAGAAATTCGGATCAAATGTGCAAAATTTGAGTATGTAAACATTTAAAAATGTCTTTATTACGTTATTTATGTCAAACAATACTTTTATACATATCAAAAATACATATGCACACACGTAACAAGCGATGGAGCATCAGAATCATCGGGGTTTACAGCACAACTGCAGCCAAGGATGATTATCGATTGGTTGGTTATCGATAAACAAAGGCGGAAACGCGTCGATGAAAGAAGAAATTCACAGAATCGGTTTAATTCATCAATACACATTGGGAAAGTTTCTCAATCTCAAATTCCTGTTGACCGCAATCGATATTGGTGTTTTTATCAAACCAGGCATACAATCCTGCCCACAGTGCGGTAGAAGGGGCGGAGCTTGCCACGCACTACCAAGTAAATTTTCACAATGAACCGACATAAAAGTCGGTTTAGGAAAAGAACTTTGCTGAGAGCTTTCCTTTACTGTTAATATAAACTTGATTTTGAAGAGAAGTTTTCACAAAATAGGCTCTCCCTTGCCAAAATAGGGGCAGAGAATGAATCCTACCTGATCCCGATTTATGGCCACTTTCGGCCAAGAGTCAAGCCAGTTCCACAAGATAAATAAGACAATGAGGTGAAAGAATATGCAGCAAACCTAACCTATAAGTAATAGCAAATCAATATACATAACATGTGTGGAGACCAGTAATGAGAATAAGAGGCGGTATGAATGCATCAGCTGAGAAATCGCTGCCTATAGAAGAAGATCGTGAGCACGGCACATACTCTGACTACCCCGCCCTTCTAGAGAGGTGCGGACGAGTTGTACGATGCCCAGACTGGAAACTCGGCTAGTGGCAGAAAACGTATGCCGCGATCATGCTAGCAGCACGGTTAAAACGAGACATTTCCAGAGAAACCACTTATGCGCGTACCTGAAGAAAGGTAATCATTGAGATTTAAAAAAATAACTCATATCTTTTTCCAAGTCACTACGCCGTGGCGAGCGCGACGGCAGCGCACATTTGCGCAAGTCGCGGTGCAGTAAATGTGCGAAAACGACATATAAGGCTTTACTTCGTTGATGTCACTTAGTCAAAGGAGCGAGGATACGCCTGTGATAGTGGAGAAGACTCAAGAGGGTTGTAGCTCAACGGTTGCGCACGCTCCACGTGCAACTACGTGCGTCTTGACATCGTGACCTAACGACACACTGAATTATGCTACCGTATGATTTCCTAAAATGATTCTCCTGAACGGTCTGTTCAGAATTCTTCTGGTTTTTCTAGTAACCCCTTTATTCATAAGAAGAGCAACTTTTCACAAGAAATCTTTTTTAGAATCTCGGATCGCATAAATTTTACCCTTTTTACGGAATTTTAGATAATGGATAGGTCTCACCATATCTGAGACTTTCACCATTCCCGATCCGAACACGATTGCGTTCGGCGGTGTTCCGACAGGCAACACCAGTGCAAATGAGCACGACATCGTCGTCGGAAGCATCAGAGTGAACGGATGCCGATCCATTGCAGTTGCCTAAACATTCCCAAATTGCTTTTTATAAAGTGATTTCATTAACATCACCATGATCAATAATTAATCAGGGGTATAGTAAAGGAGTCATCTAATTATTGAATTAAAGTTAAGGCAACCTTAATGCGAAAGGAAATCAGGTTACCATTGCAACCAGAACAGAGCGTTTTTTTTTGTTGGGTTTGTGGTAACAGAAAGAGTCAACCGTTGCGTTCTCACTTTTTAAAACCTGTTCACAACCCCCCGCCCCCTCCCTTCGCCCGTTCGCATAGTCTAAACGGGACGGTTGTCCCCGGTTTTGCCCTTTGATCAGACAGGCAGACCATCATTTTGAATGACCTACCAGTTTAGCAACGATGTTCACAAATATCGTCGCCGTGACGGTGTTACTGCAGAAGTTAGTGACGGTCATCACAATGGCCATTGTGACTGCTTGCAACAACCACAGAGGAAGGTGATTCAGACCCGTCAAAGAATTGCCGATACTGTCAGACAGACCGGATTTTTGGACACCTGAAAAAATGGAATCTTAGGGAAACTCGAGTCAAATCGATGCGCAAGAAAATACTAACCTTGAGCCAAGGCAAAACCGCCTCCCAACAGCATCACAACGTTCCATGGGAACGATTTTTGTATCGTGGGCCAGTCCATGAGGCGAGAGGTCTGGAAATTTCACTGTTAACAAAAATTAGACAGCACAGAGCGAGTTTGAGCATTGGCAGACCACCCGATAGCAGTTCAAAATTGCACCTTTTTCAATTCTTCTTTCGTTTTGTAGGTGAACAGGTCTGGTTTTTCACTTGGCAAGCGAACAGAAGAACGGCAACAATCATCGCCGATGTGGCATCAGTGTAGCAA